CCATGGAGCTACACTTGCCTGTGCCCGACTTGCTGGTCAAGGCAGTGGTGAACGTGCTCAGGGTAGGCCCCGCACACTTGGCTTTTCACAGGACTTCGGTTCTCCAAAAGCTAGTTGCCAGGTCCCAAGGGCTTCTTGAACGGGAGAGAGAGCTTCATGCGGCGATGCACCCGGATCTCCAAAAGGTGCTGGCAGGAAAGAACACCCTGCTTTGGGAGCAGCTCCTGAGAGAGTACGACTTTCCGGACCCAGGCCTTGTGGAAGAGGTCAGGCAGGGTTTCGAATTGGTTGGGCCGGCAAATTGCTCTGGAGTCTTCCCGAAGTCCTACAAGCCCCCGCAGCAGTCGGCTGGAAAATTGATGCAGCAATCTCTTTGGAGGCGTAAGAACACTGTTTCTAAGTGCAGGCCAACGGGCGACAGTGATGCTGATGCTGAACTTTGGAGCCAGACTCTTCAAGAAGTGGAGCAGGGGTGGATAGATGGTCCCTTCTGGGAAGAGGACGAGGTCACCTCCAGGTTGGGGTCAAACGAATGGATGTGCACTCGCAGGTTCCCGATCGTTCAAGGGCCCAAGGTGCGCATCATTGATGATTGCCTACAGAGTGGCCTCAACTCGGCGTATGCGGCCTACAACAAGCTGCGCTTAATGGACGCGGACGCCTTTATCTCACTTGTGCTTCTCATCATAAAATGCTCACGGCAGCCTGGAAGCAAGCTTGTGCTGGATTCCGGCGAGGTCTTGGGAGTCAGACGCCATCCGGGCTGGGGCGAGGGTCTTGACTTGCTCGGCAAGACACTGGACTTGGCTTCAGCTTATAAGCAGCTGGGGTGCAGACCGGAGACGACCTTCAACAGGGTTCTGGTGGCATGGTGTCCTGACAAACAAAGGCCTGCTTTCTTCGTGTCCACGGCACTAATGTTTGGGGCAACCTCCGCGGTGTTCTCCTTTAACAGATGCTCGGCGTCGCTCTGGCATTTGGCTGTGTCGATGGGATCAGTCTGCTGCACGGTATACTTCGATGACTTTCCTTGTGTTGAACCGTCGGCTTCTTCTGGGTCTGCGCAGGATTTCTTGGTGGGTCTTCTGTCCACGTGCCTTGGATGGCAGGTGGCATTGCAGCCGAAGAAGAACCTCCCCTTCGCGAAGACCTTTACTCTGCTGGGTGTGGAGCTCTCGCTTGCAAAGGCGGACCAGGGCATCCTGACGGTTCGGAATAAGCCCGACAGGGTGAAGGAGCTGAGGGCGGACTTGAGTCGGCTTCTTGAACAAGGTCACATTAAGAGGGCCGAGGCCTCCTCTCT